TAGCACATTCCTTTCGTCGTCTTGGGAGTCAAAAATTGTCTTGTCTTTTTAAATTTCCCGTATCCCGTGCCCGTCCCGAAAAATTGAGTGGATTTTTATTGGCCGCAACGTCGAAGCACGTGCAAGTCAGGCTGGATTGCACAAGCCGAAAAAAGATACTGCGTCAGCAAAGGAGGGAAGAGTAAGGTCACCGTGTAGGGGAGGACGAAGACTCAAGGCCGTGCTCTTAATACGGCGCAAGACTTGGCCTCGGGCGACTGAAAATATTGTCTAGGTGGCCCAGCCGGGCGACTTGCTGGTGTTGGTTTCTTGTTGAGTTACAGTCAAAAAGGTAAAAATGTCTAGAATTTATTACTTGCGAAATCGTAGCTCTCTCGGTGGCTTCGCGGCCTAAAAAGAACGCTCCGCTCGCTAAGAAACTCTTGAGGTTGACTTGTAAGTAGCAATAAGTAACATGTCTATCAAAAAGCTTTAGGAAAATGTTGTTAAATCGGGCAGCGGGCACGCGTTGATGTTCAAAGGTTGTTTCACGTGAATTCACATGTAACATAATCCTTGACTATGAACGTGACAAGCTGCACAGTTTTCGATAGTAACAGCTTTTCATAATAACATTGAAATTTTTTCTTCAAATTACGATTGTTCATTAGTTAGTTTTTCAAAACAAATTGTTACTTTTGCTCTGACAGGCGTGAGGTACGGTCGGCGACGCAAAACGATAGTTTTGTATTTTGAAAAATCGCTGAATAAACAAGGGGTCGGTCTTTTATGTTCTTTAAATATTTTTACCTTTTTTTACTGCTGTGTCTGCGAGGCTAAAACATAACTAAGATTGTTATTCCAGTAAAATACGATGCATAAAAAGAAAAGAGACCACTATTGTAATTGTGATTGTTCTAGAATCGGCTATAAATCCCGCATGGTCTTTCGTGTCGTGACAAGGCATTACGTATGACGTACTAAAAATAAATACGCAAAAGCCAACCGAATCTACATTTGTCCTGAACATTTCACCGGTAATATAGAAAGAAAATACTTCCGTTTTGCGCTTAAACGACGACTTTACAACAAGATAATCTACTCAAAAGAGATAATGGTTTTGCGGCGGCCCGGGGGCACTTCCTTATAAAGAGGCTAATGGGGATGTGCCGCTGGATGGGGTGGCATTTTCACGACAGGATTGACTATTAATGGGGTTGCATTTTCAAAAGAGTTACTAGAATGGAGTCGCACGTTTTCGGATTTTTGGGGTAAGAGAGCTGTTCATATTTACGGTTAGCAAACGTATCAGGATATTTGTACTGTAGGTGAAAAGTAAAGTGTTCTTCATTCAATTTATTTAAAAAATGGGTCAATTCATTTTTTGATGGCCTATTTAAAGGATTGATAAGTTAGATACGTAAATAGAAAGTGACTAAGTTGGGATCGCAAAAATTA